TTGTGGACATTGCTGCTATAAACATCGGGGTGTATGTGCCCTTTCGAATCACTATGTTTGTATCCTTTGGGTAAATACCTAGTAGTGCAATTGCTGGGTCGTATGGTAGCTCTATTTTCAACTGTTTGAGGAACCTCCATACTGTTTTCCAGAGTGGTTGCACCAGCTTGCATTCCCACCAACAGTGTAGGAGGGTTCGCCTTTCTCTGCATCCCCGCCAACATCTGTCGTTTCCTGACTTGTTAATTTTAGCCATTCTGACCACTGTTAGGTGGTATCTCATTGTGGTTTTAATCTATATTTCCTTGATGCCGAATGATGTGGAGCATTTTTTTCATGTGTCTGTTGGCCACTTGGGATGTCTTCTTTAGAGAAATGTTCATGTCTTCTGCCCGTTACTTGACTGGATTATTTGTTCTTTGGGTGTTGAGCTTGATAAGTTCTTTATAGATTTTGGATACTAGCCCTTTATCTGATTTGCCATTTGCAAATATGTTCTCTCATTCTGTATGTTGTCTTTCAGTTTAGTTGACTGTTTCCTTCGCTGTGCAAAAGCTTTTTATCTTGATGAAGTCCCAAAAGTTCATTTTTGCTTTTGTTTCCCTTGCCTTTGGAGACGTGTCTAGCAAGAAGTTTCTGGGGCCGAAGGTCAAAGAATTTGCTGCCCTTGTTCTCCCCTAGGATTTTGATGGACTCCTGCAGAGACCTGCTTTTCTAAGTAGCAAGATTTAAGACCAGTGGTTCCCAATATTTTAACAAAACAAAAAATCAGGACCCACCCCCTCAAAATAATAATTGGTCTTTTAGTATCCATTATTTGAGAAAACACATTGAAAATTACTATACATTCGGAAAAACTTTTACATGAGGTTGTATTTTTGTAGTCACGACAGCATCTGCCTACATTTTGGCATCTTTTGGCAGAACACTAAAGAGCTGAGTTAAAATCAATATTTGGTTACAGTTGAGCCATCTGCCCCTCATCTTTACTTAAATGTGCACCAATTTCAGTATCTTCATTGGAATAGAAGGACGGGAGGACCTTATAGCAGGTATCAGTTAGAAATATTTGTATTCTCAAGAGGATTTTTAGTTTGGTTATTTCAGTAGTTTTCAGTGGACAAACTAAAGGCACTAAGTTCTGTAAACTATAGCATTAGGCTTTTTTTGTGTGATTAAACTTCTAAGCACATAATGTCTACTGTTCCATAGTGTTTGAACATCTCATGTGAGTCCAACAGAACAATTCCAAAATCTCTTTGGTATCAAGTAGTGTGCTCTTGACTGATGAAGAACTGCTGTCACATCACATGCCCTCCTTAATGCCCATCACCCATTGTAATTACATTTCTAAGAGTCTATCCTAAAGCTTGATTTAACGTCTGGTTCTTTCTGATGGTCAGATAAACTAGAGGGCTGCAGATTTATTGGCATGGAGACGGGGGAACAACTGAGGAAATCTTTTATATATGCCCCTGAGTGGAGAGAAGGGAGACATAGAGAAGACAATATAATTTATGCTTCCCAGCTTAGACCTGGGCACAGGACTGAGAACTCTGGACAGAGAGCAGCTGCAGGCAGAAGTTGAAGCCCTTTCAGAAAGAATTCAGTGAAATCCAAGGGCACAAGGCAGTGGGAGGAGCTGGGCATGTATCCCACTTCCACATCAAGCCCCTACCTGGAAATAGGAGGGAACCTTAATTCACTGATTGTTTTACCTTGCATTGCCTTGCAGGTACTCAGTGGATACTCTGGAGTGGTAGTGGCAGGGTACAGTCATTGTCACCTTGTTCCAAAACACATGAGAGACTCCCCCTGAGATTCCAAAATATGCTTTGGAGCATTTACGGTTGGCTGAAGTCTGTGTTGTCAGGAGAAAGTAAAAGAGTAGGGGGATTTTTTTTTATGTGGTTAATATGACCTTATTTATAGCTAAGTTTTGTTGTGTCCATGGACCTTTAGTTTGCATGAGGGACATCAAATAGGTAGAGAAAAGTTTTATGCCTAAAAATGTTCACTATAGTGTATTTGTTACAATTGTAAAAAATTGAAAAATAACAAGAATAGTCCACAAATTTTTATTGCTATATCAGTCATCAAAAGGTATTTATAAAGAGCTTGGGAAAATTTATGTTATAATGTGAAATGAGAAAAACAGTAAAATATCAGCCATGTCAAAAATATTTAGGAAAAAGTACACCTGGGTGGCTCAGTTGGTTAAGCATCCACTTCCTGATTTCAGCTCAGGTCATGATCTCAGGATCGTGGGATCGAGCCCGAAGTGGAACTCTGTGCTGACTGTGGAGCCTGCTTGGGATTCTCTCTCCCTCTCCCACTATTATTCCCCTGCTCTCTTTCTCTCTCTCTCTCAAAAAAAAAAAAATATATATATATGTATATATAGGAAAAAAGATTGATACGTACCAAGTAGTGCTTATCCTTAAGTCCTGGAACAATGAGTGATTAATATTTTCTTCATTTTACATTTCTGCATTTTACAAATATTCTCCATAAGTTAGCATTATTTGAAAAATAACAACCTTAAAAATTATAATAAAAATCTTAAAAAAATACATGTATTTCTTTCCTTGGTGGGTATTTGTGTATGTACAAGGGGACTGTTTTCTCTAGGAACAGCAGTGATTTCTCTTTCCAGCTGCCACGGTAATTCTCCAGAATGCATAATTCAGTGGGACACATTCGAATGCTCCCACTTGAATTAAAATGAATATCTAGAAGGAATCACAGGCTTCAGGTTTGGAATGTAAACAAGAGATCTTACCCTCCAACCACCATTCAATTCCTTTCTATACTCTCTCTTTCAAGGGCTAGCCCAGCTTCTGCTTACAGACAAATTACTGCTGCTGGAGTTGGCTTGCTGGCTGTGCGAAAGTTCTTTATTTTGAAATGAAATCTATTTCTTAGTTTTCACACAGTAGGTAGTTTGACCTCCCCTACCCTCATGCCCAAAGACAAGAAATCTAAGTAAATCTAATTATGTCTCTTCCACATGATAGCCTTTTAGGTATTTGAAAACATTAAGTCCTTATTCTTTCATGTGTTCATTCATTCATTCAATGCTTATTTATTGAATGCCCACAAATGCTCTGTGCAAAGTGTAATGGAAGCAGTTGAAGATACAAACTCCCTGCCTTCCAGATGCTCACAGTTTAGGGTCTCAGGTCAAATGTTGAAACTCTGAGATGTGTATGCAGGAGGTTACTGGGGAGTACCCTTGGGAACAACATCTGGGAGAGGTGAGCAAAACGGACAGGCAGAGGGAAGAGCTGCCAGATAGATGCAACAGAGGCCTCAGCTGATCTTAAGGGGAGTTCTGGAGCTTGCTGACCCTTCAGAGCTATTTCACCTTAAGGCAAGGTGGTAAGATTTTTCTACCTGCTATTGTCCAGTCATTGGATAAGGATAAATTTCTTTTCAAGGGTAAATTACTGGACAGGGACTCAGTGGGGACCTGTCAACCAGTGCTCCCTTCAGCCTGAGAAATCATGTTGGTCCTGCAGGAAGAGTGTGTGCAGTGCATCACTATCCTATACAAGTGGAGAGATAGCTATTTTCCACAGTAGAATATAGCAAACCAGTTATTTGACTAGCTCTGAGTACAAAGTGCACGGACAAATAGACAACATGTAGGCTCACCTGAGGAGCCAGGACAGGCTTCCCAGGAAGTCAAGGGTATGGATAGCAAGGAGAGTGCTTGTGAGCAGCCTTTAGGTGGTAGAATTGACAGTCCTCAATGATTGTTTGGGCCTGGGAGTGAGGAGAAAGGAGACACCCAAGTTTCTGGTCTGGACCCCCTTGGTGCCTGTTGTGCTATTTACCAGAGTAGAGAACCTGCCGGAAAGAGTTTTATGGTAGTCTGCTCTGAAGAAGAAAAAAATGGAAACATGTGGGACAAAGGTAAGGAGTGTCTAGCCTAGTTGTCATATCTAGCCCTAGAGCTTTATAAACCAGACATTTCTTTCAGTCTAAGACTCGTCTGTTTTTGTTTTTGTTTGTTTTTAATTATGTTAGTTAACATACAGGGCAGTAGGGGCACCTGGGTGGCTCAGGTGGTTAAGTGTCTACCTTCAGCTCAGGTCATGATCCTGGAGTCCTGGGATCGAGCCCCACATCAGGCTCCCTGCTCAGCGGGGGGCCTGCTTCTCCCTCTACCCCTCACCCCACTCTTGTGCTCTCTCTCACTCTTTCTTTCTCTTTAAAAAAAACCATACAGTGCAGTATTGGTTTCTGGAATAGAAGTCAGTGACTTACATATAACCCGGTGCTCATCACAAGTCCTCCCTCCCTTCCTTCCTCCCTCCCTTCCTTCCTTCTTTCCTTCCTTAATTTTTAATTTAAATTCCATTTAGTTAACATATAGTATATTACTAGTTTGAGGGTAGAATGTAGTGATTCATCAGTTGCATATAACACCCAGTGCTCATTACATCAAGTGCCCTCCTTAATGTCCATCACCCAGTTACCCCATCTCCCCACCCACCTCCCCTCCAGCAACCCTGTTTGTTTACTATAGTTAAGAGTCTCTTATGGTTTGCCTCTCTCTCTGTTTTTGTTTTAAAATTTTATTTATTTATTTGACACAGAGAGAGAGAGAACAATCAGGGGCAGCTGCGGAGGAAGAGGAAGAAGGCTCACCACCAAGCTGGGAGCCAGATATGGGGTCAGATCCCAGGACGCTGGGATCATGGCCTGAGCCAAAGGCAGACGCCCAACCGACTGAGCCACCCAGGCGCCCCTCCATCTCTGTTTTTATCTTATTTTATTTTTCCTTCGCTTCCCCTATGTTCATCTGTTTTGTTTCTTAAATTCCACATATAAGTGAGATCATATGGTATTTGTCTTTCTCTGATTTATTTCACTTAGCATAATACACTCTAGTTCCATCCACATAAGACTTGTCTCTTTGGAATCAGAACTGATCACATGAATATGCTTTCCCTCTTCCCTTATCCTTACCTACCTGTGGTATGTTTTCACAGAACTCCCACCAAAGCTGACTCATGTGAACTCTTCCTGGAAGTGTGCAGTCCTGAAGACAGGCCGGGCAGCCCCAGTGGCCTAGGGATTGGAATGATCTTTAATGATTCAGGTGTTGGGGACCCTGAGGAAATTTGCCAGTGCATCCTGGCTGTGTCAGCATTTCTCAGCAGAACGCATTGAGAAGAAGGCAGAGAACAACATGAAGAGGAAGAAGGAGGAGCTAAAGGAGCGCCTCAGTGCCTGGGACTGTCCTCATGGTCATTAGATCCCTCACATCTTTCTCTTTTTGCTGCATAGAAATGCTTTGCTCACCCATTACTCTGAAGCAGCAGAGCTTTGTGGTTAATGACTCCTGATTTCTTATGTCTCCATTTCTGCATCTGTAAAATGGGAATAATCATAGTCCTGAGCACATAGGGTTGTTGGGAGGGGTAAGTGAGATAATCTATGGAAAGTGCTTTAGATTAATGCTTGGCTTCTAGCAGCAGCCAGCATTAGTTTCTGTCTTTACTGTACACCTGTGTGCTAGGATGTCCTAGAGGCAAGGTGCTTCTGGTGATTCAGGAGCCGAAATATGTGATTACTTGCTGTCCCTGGATTTTTTTTTCCATCTTAATGCCCTATTTTATATACGCAAAAGTCCTTTCCCCGGGAACTCTGAGATTAGTGGTATTTCCTCCCTCTTAAATTACTCACCTTGTTGGGGTCAGCTGAGCCCAAGTTAAGTTGGGAAAGGAGAGATTGGTTGCTAATACATCAGAGAAATGCTGTCTTTTGGCTTTCTCACATCTTCGTAAGTTACTTTTGGCTTCCAGCCTCTGGAGGTGAGCTTAGATTAGTGAATCTCCCCCAGAGCTTCCCCCGCTCCCCGATTTCCTTCAGCCACATGGTGGGGACTGGGCAGGGGCCTTTCTGCTGGAGTCTGAAATAGACTAGCTAGGAAATTACTTTTCTCTGAGCTCCATAGATGTCCATTCTGACTCAACTCTGTAGGGAACAACTTAAGTGAGAGGGATGCTCCCAGTTATGGTTTCTGTAATGTTTCTTTGTCTTTGCTCTTGTAACAATTGCTTGTACTGCTCATTTGACATTGCATAATACTCTTTCTTGTGACAGCTCTCTTTTCCTAATGAACTATTAAAAGTTTTACTGCTGGATGTGAGGGCAATCTGGCTGCGACATCTGTCACCCCGTTGATTGCCAGGGTTGATGCGGCTGATCTGGCTGGCTAGGCAGGTGTCCCCTTCCTCCCTCACCACTCCACGGGCGCCCCGCCCGAAGCTGCGCGCTTGGTCCAAGAGGATGACCTTCCCTGATAGGGGAGGACCATTCCTCCGTCAAGGGTATACAGTAGCTGCGCTCCCCTGCTAGGACCCCCAAACAAGCTCTCCAGGTCCATTTGTAGGAGAACGTAGGGTAGTCAAGCTTCCGAAACTCCAGACACATCCAAATGAGGCGCTGCAGGTGGCAGTCTGCCTTGCTTTAAAAAAAAAAAAAAATTTACTGCTATTTCGCTTTTCAGAGTCCCATGCTTTATCTCTCCTCTCCAATTTTTTGCAAGCTCTTTAGTGAAGTCTTTGTACCTCTGAAAGTATTTTGCAGGATTTCATGTCCTTAGTAGGTCTTAGAAAAACTGATTTTTGTTGAGTCCCTTAGCTTGCCCTTGTCCTCAGTATTTTTTCTTCTCTTCCCTGTATAGGCCCAGTTGGTTTACACAACATTGGACAGACCTGCTGTCTTAACTCCCTGATTCAGGTATTAATTATGAATGTGGGCTTCACCAAGATATTGAAGAGGTAAGACTAACATGTATATTATTGTACATTTTCATATATTCAGTTTTTCACAGTGACTTGTACTTTTAAAAGTCTTCTTTGAACAGTTGCCAGAGAAAAGATCTTGTTCTGAATAATCTAGACTACACGCTATAATCACCTAAGAAGTTTAAAAAGAAATATGAATGCCTGTTTCCACCACCAGGTTTCATTTGGTCTAGCGTGGGGCTCAGATACTGATACTTTTATTTTTAATTTATTTTAATTAATTAGTTTTTGTTGTTTTTAAATTTAAAATCAATTTAATTAACATAGAGTGTATTATTAATTTCAGAGGTAGAATTTAGTGATTCATCAGTTGCATGTAACACCCAGTGCTCACTCCATCAAGTGCCCCCTTTAATGCCCATCACCCAATTACCCCATCCCTCCCATCCACCTCCCCTCCAGCAACCCTCAGTTTATTTCCTATAGTTAAGAGTCTCTAATGGTTTGTCTCCCCTCTCTGATTTTGTCTTATTTTCTTTTTCCTTCCCTTCCCCTATATTAATCTGTTTTGTTTCTTAAATTCCACACTTTTAAAGACTCCCCAGGTGATTTGAAACTGCAGCCAGGATTGACAGCCACTGATTTGGTTAAAACAATGTTGGGAGTAGATCAATATCAGAAATATCAGAGGAGGAATAAATCAACAATTAGGCCCCTGAATCTCTCCATTGGTTTCTCTCAAACAGGACACACACACGCAAAGTGTATATATGTATGTATATATATTTATACATGTATGTACTTTATCACACATTCTTTTTTAAAAAAGGTTTGTTTACTTATTAATTTAATTTAATTATTTTTTAGAAAGGTTTTTTTCTTGCCCCTAAATTCTTTTTTTATTTTTTTATTTTTTTTAAAGATTTTATTTATTTTTTTTGTCAGAGAGAGAGAGAACAAGCAGGGGGAGCGGCAGGCAGAGCAGGAAGAAGGAGAAGCAGGCTCTCTGCCAAGCGAGGAGCCCAATGTGGAACTTGATCCCAGGACTTTGGGATCATGACCTGTGCTGAAGGCAGATGCTTAACCGACTGAGCCACCCGGGCGTCCCCCTAAATTCTTTTTTTAAAGTTTTTTATTTCAATTCCAGTTAGTTACCATACAGTGTAATATTAGTTTCAGGTGTACAATATAGTGATTCAGCACTTCCATCACCTGGTGCTCATCACAAGTGCACTCCTTCATCCCCATCACCTATTTCACCCATTCCCCTGCCCACCTCCCCTCTAGTAACCAGCAGTTTGTTCTCTGTAGTTAAGAATCTGTTTCTTAGTTGGCCCCTCTCTTTCTTTTTACCTCTATGCTCATTTGTTTTGTTTCTTAAATTCCATAAATGAGTGCAATCCTGTGGTATTGTCTTTCTCTGACTTATTTTCACTTTAGCGTAATACTCCTCGCTCCATCCATGTTGTTGCAAATGGCAAGAATTCATTCTTTTTTTATGGTCCAGTAATATTCCATTATATTATGGGATAATAATATAATGGAATATTAAGATAATAACCTCTTTGGTTAGGTTTATTTGTAGGTATCTTACAGTTTTTGGTGCAATTGTAAATAGGATTGATTCCTTGATTCCTCTTTCTTCTGCCTCATTGTTACTGTATAGAAATGCAGCTGATTTCTGTGCTTTGATTTTATATCCTGCCACTGCTGAATTCCTGTATCAGTTCTAGCAGTTTGTTTTTTTTTTTCCAGTCAATGAAAGGGAAACTTTATTGAGGCCCCAGGCCCTTAGGGCTCAGGCAGGAGGCTGCCCTGTGGGCAAAGGAAGAGCCAGTGGAGGGGCCTTATTTGACCTTCTTTTTGGGGAGCAGGTTGTTGGTGTGGCCGCACTTCTTCTTGCGGCAGTTGACAGCACGGGGGTGCAGGCGAGCGTAACACTTGCGGCAGATCATCTTGTCACAGTTGTATTTCTGGGCCAGCTAGCGGAGGGAAGGCTCAATGATGCCACCCTGGAGGCGAAGCACCAAGTGCAGGGTGGACTCTTTCTGGATATTATAGTCTGACAGAGTACGGCCGTCTTCCAGCTGTTTGCCCGCAAAAATCAGACGCTGCTGGTCAGGTGGGATGCCCTCCTTGTCTTGGATTTTGGCTTTGACATTCTCAATGGTGTCACTGGGCTCGACCTCGAGGGTGATGGTCTTGCCCGTCAGGGTCTTCACAAAGATCTGCATCTCTGCGTCTGCTGGCGCGAATCCGCAAGGCCGCTGCACCAAACCACTCGACCACCCTGTTGAAGAGAAAGAGTTCTAGCAGTTTTTTGGTGGAGTCTTTTGGGTTTTCCACACAGAGTATCATGTCATCTGTGAAGTGTGAGAGTTCGACTTCTTTGCCTATTTGGATGCCTTTTATTTCTTTTTGTTGCCTGATTGCTGAGGCTAAGGACTTCTAGTACTATGTAGAAAAACAGTGGTGAGAATGTTCTGTCCCTGTCCTGTTCATGAGCTTAGGGGAAAAGCTCTCAGTTTTTCTCCATTGAGGATGATATTCTCTGTGGGTTTTCATATATGTCTTTTATGATCTTGAGGTATGTTCCCTCTATCCCTACATGGTGGAAAGTTTTTATCAAGAAGGGTTGTTGTATTTTGTCAAATGCTTTTTCTGCATCTGAGAGAATAATATGGTTCTTGTCCTTTCTTTTATTAATGTGGTGTATCACATTGACTGATTTATGGATATTGTTATGACCCTTGCAGCCCAGGAATAAATCCCACTTGGTCCTGGTGAATAATCCTTTGAATGTACTGTTGGATCCTATTACCTAGTATCTTGGTGAGAATTTTTGCATCCATGTTTATCTGGGACATGGGTATGAATTCTCCTTTTTGATGGGGTCTTTGTCTGGTTTGTCTGGTTTGGGGATAAGTGTAATGCTGGCCTCAAAGAATGAGTTTGGAAGTTTTCCTTCTGTTTCTATTTTTTGAACCAGCTTCAGAAAAATAGGTATTAGTTCTTCTTTATTTATTTTATTTTTTAATTTAAATTCAATTAGCCAAAGTATTGGTTTTTTGATATAATGTTCAATGATTCATCAGTTCAGTATAACACCCAGTGCTCATCTCATCATGTTCTTCTTTAAATGTTTGGTAGAATTCCCCTGGGAAGCCATCCAGCTCTGGATTCTTGTTTTTTGGGGAGATTTTCGATTACTGTGTCAATTTCCTTGCTGGTTATGGATCTGTTCAGGTTTTTTATTTCTTCCTGGTTCAGTTTTGGTAGTTTATATGTTTCTAGGAATGCATCCATTTCATCCAGATTGCCTAATTTGTTGGCATATTGTTGCTCATAATATGTTCTTATAATTGTTTGTATTTCTTTGGGGTTGTTTGTGATCTCTTTCATTCATGATTTTATTAATTTGGGGCCTTTCTCTTTTCTTTTTGATAAGTCTGGCTAGGGGTTTATCGATCTTAATTCTGAGAACCAGCTCCTAGTTTCACTGCTCTGTTCTACTGTTTTTTTTTCTTTTCTTTTTTTTTTTTAATATTTATTTGACAGAGAGACAGAAAGAGAGGGAACACAAGCAGGGGGAGTTGGAGAGGGAGAAGCAGGCTCTCCGCCAACCAGGGAGCCCGATGTAGGGCTCGATGCGGGGCTCAATCCCAGGACAAGACCTGAGCTGAAGGCAGATGCTTAACAACTGAGCCACCCAGGCATCCCCCCTTTTTTTAATTTCTATGTCATTGATTTCTGCTCTCATCTGTATTAATTCTCTTCTCCTGCTGGATTTAGGCTTTATTTGCTGTCTTTTCTCCAGCTCCTTTAGATGTAAGGTTGGTTGTGTATTTGAGACTTTTCTTGTTTCTTGAGGAAGGCCTGTGTTGCTATATACTTCCCTCTTAGGACCATCTTTGCTGCATCCCAAAGTTTCTGAACAATTGTTTTCATTTTTATTTGTTTCCATGTATTTTTTAATTCTTTAATTTCCTGGTTGACCCATTCATTCTTTAGTAGGATGTTCTTTAACCTCCATGTATTTGTGGTCTTTCCTTGTAGTTGACTTCAAGTTTTAAAGCATTGTGGTCTGAAAATATGCGTGGAATAATCTCAGTCATTTGGTATTGGTTGAAACCTGATTTGTGATCCAGTATGTGATCTCTTCTGGAGAATGTTCCATGTGCATTTGAGAAGAAAGTGCATTCTGCTGCTTTGGGATGAAATCCTCTGAATGTAACTGTGAAGTCCATCTGGTCCAGGGTGTCATTCAGAGCCCTTATTTCCTTGCTGATCTTTTGCATAGATGATCTATCCATTGCTGTGAGTGAGTTGTTAAAGTCCCCTACTATTAATGTATTATTATCAATGTGTTTCTTTAATTTTGTTATTAATTGGTTTATATAATTGGCTGCTCCCATTTTGGGGGCATAAATATTTACAATTGCTAGATCTTCTTGTTGGATAGGCCCTTTTATTATGATAGAGTGTCCTTCTTCATCTCTTATTACAGTCTTTGGTTTAAAATCTAGTTTTTCTGATATAAGGATGGCTACTTCAGCTTTCTTTAGATGTCCATTGGCATGATAAATTGTTCCCCACTCCCTCACTTTCTTTTTTTTTAAAATATTTTATTTATTTATTTGAGAGAGAGACAGATAGTGAGAGAGATAGCAAGAGAGAGCACAAGTGGAGAGGAGAGGGAGAAGCAGGCTCCCGCCGAGCAGGGAGCCTGACGTGGGGCTCCATCCCAGGACCCTGGGATCATGACCTGAGCCGAAGGCAGACACTTATCCGACTGAGCCACCCAGGTGCCCCTCCACTCCTTCACTTTCAATCTGGAGGTGTCTTTGGGTCTAAAATGAGTGTCTTGTAAGCAGCATATTGATGGGTCTTGTGTTTTTATCTTTCCTGATACCCTGTGTCTTTTGATTGGAGAATTTAGTACATTTGCATTCAGAGTAAGTATTGAAAGATCTGAAGTTAGTGCCATTGTATTACCTGTAAAGTTGCTGTTCCTGTAGATTGTCTCTGTTCCTTTCTGGGTTTTGTTACTTTTGGGCTCTCTGTTCACTCAAGGGATACCCTTTGATAATTCTTGCAGGGCTGGTTTAATGTTCACAGATTCCTTTAGTTTTTGTTTGTCCTGGAAACTCTTTCAGCTATTTTCTCGTCAAATAAATTTTCTGTCCCCTGTTCTCCCTCTTCTTCTTCTGGGACTCCTATAATACGGATGTTATTACAGTTATAACTCAGTCCCTGAGTTCCCTAAGTCTATTCTCATGTTGCATAATTCTTCTTTCTCTCTTTTGTTCAGCTTCATTGCTTTCCATTATTTTGTTGTCTAGGTCATTAATTCAGGGGTTTGTGTTGGTTTTCTGGGGGAGGGGCTCACCACACTGGTACTTAGGCAAGCATGACTGAGAAGGGTTGTTTTACTGGAGCTCAGGGATATGGGGCTTGGTGTAGGTAAGTTAGGCAGCCTGTTTTGGCACTGTGCTGCTTCCCACAGTTGGCTCTGTGTTCATGCTGAGGGGTGGGGGAGGGAAATGGTGCCACCTGGCTCTCTTATTCCTGAGTGGGTCCCTGTGCATGGTCCCTCTCAGGGATGTGCTCTGAGAGGAGCAAATAATCTCCCCACTGTATGCCCCAGGCACACTTCAGTTCCCTGTTTCCATGCTATCTGACCCCCGGGTTGTTTCCTGCCTTCTCTCCAGGAACAGCACAGTGACCTCTAGGCTCTGTTCCAGTCAAGCCCTCTGATCTTGGCCCTGGCCCTCTGATCTCTGGCTATAGTTCCTGCTTTAAGCCCTACTGACTACAAGAACTCATGAAATTCTACTCCTCTTCTTTTCTAAGCCAATGGCTTTGGGGAAATGTTCTTCTTGTGTGTTCTCCTGTGTGTTCCTCTCTCTCTCTCCCCTTCTCCATGACCATGGCTCCCTCCCCTCTGCAGCACCTGCAGTCTGTTTTTCCCCTAAACCACATCTCTGCACTTCCTACATTCTTTAATGTGGCCTCTTCTCTCCCTTTATTTTATTTTTTTAAAAAGATTTTACTTATTTATTTGACACAGAGAGAGAACAGAGAACAAGAGAGAAAACAAGAGAACATTTAGTTATCGGAAGAGGGAGAAGCAGGCTCCTCACTGAACAGGGAGCCTGATGTGGGACTCGATCCCAGGACCCTGGGATCATGACCTGAGCGGAAGGCAGTTGCTTAACCAACTGAGCCATCCAGGCACCCTCTTCTCTCCCTTTAGTTGTGGAGTTTGTTCTGTCTTCAGGTCAACTTTTGCGTTGATCTGATGGTTATCTAGTGTTCCTGGGACTAGTTGTGTTCCTCCTCCTATTGGCTCAGGCAATGAGAGATGCCTATAATTAAATAAATCATTTTCAAAATAAACTGACATTCTTTCATGTCCTTTATTGCCAGGACCTAGATCAGTATTTGCCTTTTCACTTTGGAGTACTTCAGCCTGGACACTTTGCTGTGGACCCGGGACCCTCTTCATCTGCCCTTCATTTAAGTGTGATTGTTGGGCAGAGTGGGGAGAGGGGTGAGGCAAGAGTTGTCTGATTTCCACTCCCCATCCCGCCTTGAGAGGATACTCTCTATAGCCAATTTGCTAATATGGTACTTCTCAGCCTTGTTTATACATTTAAAACATCTGGGAAACTTAAAAATTCTGATAACTGGGCTCCACTATCAGAAATTCTGATTTAAAAAAATTCTGATTTAGTTAGTCTGCAAAGTGGCCTGGACATGGAGAGTTTGGGAAGGTTCCCCAAGTGATTCTAGTATGCATCTAGCATTGAGAACTGTGGGGATAAGGAGGTTCACGGATGTTCTTATTTGGCAGGATAACAGTACCAAGGGGAACAGAAGAACAGAGGAGAAGTGTTCCCTTCCAGTTGCTCTTGCTACTGGAGAGGATGCAGGACAGCCGGCAGAAAGCAGTGCAACCTATGGAGCTTGCCTACTGTCTCCAGAAGTACAATGTTCCAAGTAAGATAACCTTCTCAGCTCTGAAAGAGAGGGAGAGGGAGGAGGTTGGGGAAGGGGAAAGTGGGGGGAGTGCCTCAAAGAATGAGTCAGGAGCTGTTCCCTCCTCTTTTTTGTTTTGGAAGAGTTTTTGAAGGGATAAGTATTAATTCTTTAAATGTTTCTTATAATTAAGCCAATTCTGGACCTGGGCTTTTCTTTGTGGGAAGTTTCAAAATGACTGATTCAATCATTTTCCTTTTTATAGTTAGGGTTCTTTCTTCAGGTTGAAAAACTGAACTCCCTTTAGCAATTTCTTGTAAGAAAGTGTAGTGGTGATGAACTTCCTTAGCATTTGTCTGGGAAAGTCTTTATCTCTCTTTCACTTCTAAAGTAAAGTTTTCCAGATTGGCAGTTTTTTTCTTTTATCACTTTGAATATGTCATTCCACTGTCTCCTGGCATGTAAGGGTTGTGCTGAGAAATCCCCTGATAGCCTTATGGGGGGTTCCCTTGTAAGTGATAAGCTCCCTTTCTCTTAATTATTTTAAGATCTCTCCTTGTCATTGATTTTTTTATTAGGTTCAATTAGCCAACATATAGTAAGTACATCATTAATTTTTTTAAAATTTTTTGTTAATCACCATACATTACATCATTAATTTTTAATGTAGTGTTCCATGATGTATTGTTTGTGCATAACACCCAGTGCTCCACGCAGAACATGCCCTCTTTAATACCCATCACCAGGCTAACCCATCCCCCTGCCCCCTCCCCTCTAGAACCCTCAGTACATCGTTAATTTTTGATATAGTGTTTAATGATTCATTAGTTGCTTGTCATTGATTTTTAAAAGTTTTACTATTGATGTGTCTTGAGTTGAATGTGTTTGGGGTCTTAAGAGCTTCATGAACTTTGATGTCTAAATCTCTCCCCAGATTTGGGAAGTCTCAGCCACTATTTCTCTCTCTCTTTTTTAAAAATTTTATTTATATTCAATTAATTAACATATAGTATATTATTAGTTTCAAAAGTAGAGTTCAGTGATTCATCAGTTGTATATAACATCCATGTGCTCATTATATTCAGCAACCCTCCCCGCCCCCAGCAACCCTCAGTTTGTTTCCTATAGTTAAGACTCTTATGGTTATCTCCCTTTCTGATTTCATCTTGTTTTATTTTCCTCTCCCTTCTGATATGCTCCTTCATTTTATTTCTTAAAATCCACATATGTGTGAAATCATATGATAATTGTCTTTCTCTGATTGACTTATTTATAGCTGAGCATAATACTCTCTAGTTCTATCCATGTCCTTGCAATTGGTAAGATTTCATTTTTTTGATGGCTGAGTAATATTCCATTGTGTATATATATATATATCCATGAATCTGTCGATGGACATGGCTCTTTTCATAGTTTGGTTATTGTGGACATTGCTGTTATAAACATTGGGGTGCAGGTGCCCCTTTGTATCACTATGTTTGTATCCTTGGATAGTAGTGCAATTGCTGGGTTGAAGGGTAACTCTAGTTACAAGTTTTTTAAAGATTTTATTTATTTATTTGACAGAGGGACAGTGAGAGAAGGAACACAAGCAGGGGGAGAGGGAGAGGGAGAAGCAGGCTTCCCGCTGAGCAGGGAGCCCATTGTGGGGCTCGATCCCAGGACTATGATCCCAGGATCATTACCTGAGCTGAAGGCAAACGCTTAACAACTGAGCCATCCAGGCGTCCCCATTTATAACTTTTTGAGGAGCCTCCATACTATTATCCAGAGTGGCTGCACCAGCTTGCATTCCCACCAGTAGTGTAAGACGGTTCCCCATTCTCTGTATCCTCACCAACATTTGTTGTTTCCTGACTTGTTAATTTTAGCCATTCTGACTGGTATGAGATGGTATCTCGTGGTTTGATTTGTATTTCCTTGATGCCAAATATGTTGAGCATTTTTTCATGTGTCTGTTGGCCATTTGTATGTCTTCTTTGGAAAAATGTCTGTTCATATCTTCTGCCCATTTCTTGACTGGATTTCTTGTTCTTGGGTGTTGAGCTTGATAAGCTCTTTATAGATTTTTGGATACTAACCCTTTATCTGATAAAACATTTGCAAGTATCTTCTCCCATTCTGTATTTTGTCTTTTGTTTAGTTAACTGTTTCGTTCGCTGTTCAAAAGCTCTTTATCTTGATGAAGTTCCAATGGCTCATTTTTGCTTTTGTTTCCCTTGTGTTTGGAGATGTGTCTAGCAAGAAGTTGCTGGGGCCGATGTCAAAGAGGTTACTGCCTTGTGTTCTCTTCTAGGATTTTGATAGATTCCTGTCTTACATTGAAGTCTTTCATCCATTTTGAGTTTATTTTTGTGTATGGTATAAGAAAATGGTCCAGATTCACTCTTCTGCATGTGGCTGTCTGGTTTTTACAGCACCATTTATTGAAGAGACTGTTTTCTTTCCATTGGCTATTCTTTCCTGCTTTGTCGAAGATTAGTTGACCATAGACATTCTGTTCCACTGATCTCTGTGTCTGTTTTTGTGCCAGTACCACACTGTCTTGATGATTACAGCTTTGTAATATAGTTTGAAGTCTGGCATTGTGATGCCACCAGCTTTGGTTTTCTTTTTCAACATTCCTCTGGCTACTTGGGGTCTTTCCTGGTTCCATACACATTTTAGGATTATTTCTTCCAACACTGTGAAAAATGTTGATGGTATTTTGATAGGGATTGCATTTGATGTATAGATTGCTCTGGGAATCATAGACATTTTAACAATATTTGTTCTTCCAATCCATGAGCATGGAATGTTGGGAATCATAGACATTTTAACAATATTTGTTCTTCCAATCCATGAGCGTGGAATGTTTTTCCATGTCTTTGTGTCTTCCTCAATTTCTTTCATGAGTGTTCTATAGTTTTCAGAGTACAGGTCCTTTATGTCTTTGGTTAGGTTTATTCCTAGGTATCTTGTGGTTTTTGGTGCAATTGGAAATGGGATTGATTCCTTAATATCTCTTTTTTCTGCCTCATTGTTAGTGTATAGAAATGCAACTGATTTCTGTGCATTGATTTTATATCCTGCCACTTTACTGAATTCTTGTATGAGTTCTAGCAATTTTGGGGTGGAGTTTTTGGATTTTTCACATAGAGTACCATGTCATCTGCAAAGAATGAGAGTTTTACTTCTTCTTTGCCAGTTTAGATGCCTTTTATTTGTTTTTGTTGTCTGATTGCTGAGGCTAGGACTTCTAGTACTGTGTTGAACAACAGTGGTGAGAGTGGGCATCCCTGTCATGTTCCTGATCTTAAGGGAAAAGCTCTCAGTTTTCCCCCATTGAGAATGATATTTGCTGTGCACTTTTTGTATATGGCTTTTATGATCTTGAGGTAATTTTCCTTTATCCCTACATTGTAGAGAGTTTTAATCAAGAAAGAATGCTGTAGTTTGTCAAATGCTTTTTCTGCATCTATTGAGAGAATCATATGGTTCTTGTTCTTTCCTTTATTAATGTGTATCACATTGATTTATGGATGTTGAACCACCCTTGCAGCCCAGGAATAAATCCCACTTGGTCCTGGTGAATAATCTTTGTTGGATCCTATTGGCTAGTATTTTGGTGAGAATTTTTGCGTCCGTGTTCATCAGGGATATTGGTCTGTAATTCTCCTTTTTGGTGGGGTCTTTGGTTTGGGGATCAAGGTAATGCTGGCCTCTTATAATGAGTTTGGAAGTTTTCCTTCCATTTCTATATTTTGAACCAGCTTCAGAAAAATAGGTATTAATTCTTCTTTAAATGTTTGGTAGAATTCCACTGGGAGGCCATTCGGCTCTGGACTCTTGTTTGTTGGGAGTTTTTTTTTTTAAATTTTTATTGTTATGTTAATCACCATACCTTACATCATTAGTTTTTGATGTAGTGTTCCATGATTCATTGTTTGTGTATAACACCCAGTGCTCCTCACAGAATGTGCCCTCTTTAATACCCATCACCAGGCTAACCCATCCTCCCACCCCCCTCCCCTCTAGAGCCCTCAGTTTGTTTTTCAGAGTCCATCGTCTCTCATGGTTTGTCTCCCCTGGTTCGTCTCCCCCTCCGATTTCTCCCCCTTCATTCTTCCCCTCCTGCTGTCTTCTTTTTTTTTTTTTTAACATATATTGTATTATTTGTTTCAGAGGTACAGATCTGTGATTTAACAGTCTTGCACAATTCATAGTGCTCACCATAGCACATACCCTTCCCAATGTCTATGACCCAGCCACCCCATCCCTCCCAGCCCCACCACTCCAGCAACTCTCACTGTTTCCTGAGATTAAGAATTCCTCATATCAGTGAGGTCATATGATACATGTCTTTCTCTGATTGACTTATTTCACTCAGCATAACACCCTCCAGTTGCATCCATGTCGTTGCAAATGGCAAGATCTCATTCCTTTTGATAGCTGCATAATATTCCATTGTATATATATATACCACATCTTCTTTATCCATTCATCTGTCATTGGGCATCTTGGCTCTTTCCACAGTTTGGCTACTGTGGACATTGCTGCTATAAACATTGGGGTGCACGAACCCCTTCGGATCCCTACATTTGTATCTTTGTGGTAAATACCCAGTAGTGCAATTGCTGGATTGTATGGTAGCTCTATATTCAACTTTTTGAGGAACCTCCATACTGTTTTCCAGAGTAGCTGCACCAGCTTGTATTCCCACCAACAGTGGAGGAGGGTTCCCCTTTCTCTGCATCCCCATCAACATCTGTCAATTCCTGACTTGTTAATTTTAGCCATTCTGACTGGTGTGAGGTGATATCTCATTGAGGTTTTGATTTGGATTTCCCTGATGCCGAACAATGTTGAGCACTTTTTCATGTGTCTGTTGGCCATTTGGATGTCTTCTTTGGAAAAATGTCTGTTCACGTCTTCTGCCCATTTCTTGATTGGATTATTTGTTCTTGGGGTGTTGAGTTTGATAAGTTCTTTATAGATTTTGGATACTAGCCCTTTATCTGATATGTCATTTGCAAATATTT